TTTTCTTGGTAATAATAATATTGGGAGACGAAACAAAAGTAGATGTAAAGAGACAAAAATGTGTATTGGAAGATAACGAAAAAAATGTTAGAGTGAAAATGTGTTCGAAAATACTTTGACTATATTTCAGAAAGATATATGCACAAAACTAACATAAAATATTTGAGATCAGCATTCACTCTTTGAAATAAATTTGTTTTCATGAAATACATGACATGGATTATTAGACTGAGTTATCATGTTTAAAATCGAGGTATATGAAATAGGATAAGGGCATTTATGACCGGATCAAACATGATCTTATCGAACGCTTCACTTGCTTTGATGGATAAATCATCATCCTCAAACTCATTGTAACATCGTCATGAGTACTTCGTTCATAACTTTGAAAGAAATGATAGTTTATATTTGATATTCGCATTTAATGTGGGGTTGCATTTTATAATTTTACGATTGAGTCAATGGTAAACATTAAAGGTTCTTGGGAGATGTCCTTATATAATATTTTAATATGAAAATTTTTTTCTCTGAGATAAAGAATCATGGTCACCAAGGCCATCACCTCTTCCCACAATATTCATAATATACTTTGGTTACCACGTGACACTTAACGATTCGTTATTTTTCAAATAAAAATATCCTCGACAATATTAATTTGCTATATATCGCTTGATAATAAGTATACATAAATAGTTATATAAATTTTCTCTTTTAAAAAAAAATATTATATCTATATTCAATAATTTGTATTGTCAACAGTTTAAAAATATTTATAAATCTAGTTACAACCAATGATATACCTACAATTTTGAAAAATAAAAAAATGACTTTTAGTAATGCTTTTCTCCAAAAAATTTTACTCGCTCACAGAATATCAACTATGTTATTTTTCTTCTACATGTTCGCATTCGATCTGATGCGATCTTCTTCTTTGGTATTCCCCCATTCGGTGAAACTACCAAACACTAATTATCTTTGTTGTATTACGTTGACCAACTTCCGAGTAAGATCTACAAATATTCTATCATATTTATTTATATCATATGAATTTGTTTTAACCTAAAAAGATTTATTATTATTACAAATTTAAAAAATATGAGTAAATTGGCTGATATAACACTTTCCTAGAGAAGCATTGTGTTTTTGACACTTTCTGAAAAATGGTGCCATTTTGACACTTTAGAGTACTATTCATCACATTTTTACCCTCATCCACTCAATATTTACAATTGTGCCATTCTTTCTCTTCCTCTCCACGTTA